AATTTTCATGATCTTCTCAGTAAAAGTCAACGATTATATACAAGGAACAAATATCACGTTTATTTGGATCAATAACGATTTATACGTACTTTACGAGAGACGGTTTTCGATGACACCTCGAAAACTAGCAAATTGACTGTCGGGAAAGCTGTGTTTAAGCTATACATATCGGACGCCACCAAAAGTTTATTTCCTTCTTAACTCAGCTAAAAATTTTACATGTCAATTTTATAACTTTAAGTTATAATTTAACTTTTTAACCATAAAATTTTATAACATTTTCACTGAGATATAAGAATTTAAGAATATAATACTAAAATTCCGAAATGCGTTTGGCGCTAAAGTACCTACAATGAAAAGCGATTTTCTCAAAAGTGGGACCTAACCTGGAATTATTCCTAATATTGCTCAAATGTACTAAGACTAGCTTACATACTTATGAAATAAAATTTGTGGGCATTCTTGTTTACGCGCCGTACAAGAAGTCCGCAATTCATAAACCTTTGACAGTTCGTGCGTGCATGCACCGCCAATAATTGCTAATGCAATGAAACAAGATCAAGACAATTTGGGACGAAAACTAACTGAATATATCATACAAGAACATGCAAGTCATTAAATACCAGTTAGTTTTGTTTAAATAATCATGCTCAGTGATTTTAAACATTTTAAGCCGTTTTTAATCAGAATCAAAACGATACTAATTTGTTATTGTTATACAATATAATATTTACTTAGATTTGTAAGAATTTGCACTCCAACAACATGAAGGCGTGAAGATTTGATTTTTCCCCATACAAGTATTTCGAATCAAAAGTTAATAGTTTTGTTTAACAGAATATGTCTTTCAGATTTATTTTGATGGAGTTTTTCTTTCGATATTTGTCATTTGAGCAGTGACGCCTTAGGCTGGATCGATATACCGGATATATCCGATATACCGGTATTTGTTTAGATACCGGTTTGGCGATATTGACAATTTAAAAATACCGATATACCGACATTTCGGTATTTTGCTGCCTAATACCGAAATGAAACGCTCTTTCAAGTCAAACTTGCTTATAATCACGTTTAGAAAGCAAAGTTAATACTCACAGATGCATGATTTTGTTCTTACAGTTCTAGCGGCTTTGGTTTAGCAATACCAGACGTCTTGTTTATTAAATCGACTTAATCGGAAATATAAAAATGGCGAAATTTTTAAAGGAAAATTTCGACAAAAAAGAAAACTTTGATTTTGGAAGGTGGAAGTACTAGCATTTGCAAAGTAGCGAAAACCTTTCCTGGCTTTTCAAGTTTTTTTTTACATGCTTGCTAACTTATTTATGTGTTAGTTTTAAAAATGCAACGTTTTTTATGTTTATAACTATTAGCAGCTTACTGAAACACTATCTGAATTTATATACAAACCGAATATTTATCTGAATAATTCAACACTTCGACGCCCAATCGACGGCCTACTATAAATAATTGGCGCTTAGCGCTGTTAATTGTTAACATAGCTTGATAATGCGAATCTTGTGACATTTGCACTAATAACAGTATGTGCCACACTAATATTTTGTCAAAAATTGATTTTTCTTGACGGTCAGCACTTCAGTTTGGCTTAAAAAAAAACACGTTAAAAATACCGGAATACCGGTATTTACCGGTATTCTGATGGCGGTATATCGGTATTCGGTATTTGCGATATCGATCCAGCCTAGACGCCAGTCATTTAAACTTAATTGTAAACTTAAAATGACAGTCACGGAAACTTGTAAATTTCATTTAATTATTAACTTACACCAGGCTGCATTGCATATACAAGCCATCTTAGGCCTACTTCGAACCTCAGATGTCTTGTTGTGAAATGGCTAATTGCCTTCCATCCAATTGTTCTTTTCATGAAATCTTACAAACAGAATGTGGATCCAGTAGGGGCATTGATACACATGTGCTGCTATCTGAGTGCAAAGCTGATATTTCTGCTCATTTAGTGAGTTGTCACTTGTCCCACTGCTTAAATGTTACAGAGAGCGACTTGATTCTGGCGAGAGCTGGGATCAGAGGGTTATCGTCAACTCATCTCGCACCCATGACTATATGCCCAAAGCACAGGCATCTCTTAGGAAGATTCTGGCGACCTCCGAAGTCTTGCCAATACCCGAATCATTCTGGTAAAAAAACTAGCGTGGCTGGAAGGCACGTCATAAACTGGCAAATGGCTGAGGAAATATACCTCTTATTTGGTATATCTACAGCTGTCGGATCACATAAGTACATTTTGTTCAGTGTTGAAGCATTTATAGTCTATTTTCAAGCGGCTACGCTGTTAAATGCCTTAAATATATTTATTCTTTTTAACGCCTTCAAAAATATAAGAAATAGGCAAATAGCAGTTCTTCGATTGAACAGCCAATTATCAACGATCTGTTGATTCAACTTTATTTTATATATAGCTGTATGTACTTGTTGCCGAAAGAATCATGCTGAGCGTATTCTAGCTACAAAAAACCTGAAAACAGCCCCTCTTGATAATCAACCAAGGTTAGTTTAATAAGTAATTAACATGTTTTATTGGGCGAACCGGGAGGGCGGGGGGGGGGGCAAGGAGCTGATGGGCCAATTTGAAACGTAAGTCTGGAAAAAATATGCGGGGCCGCAGGAAATAGATGGGAAAGCAAGAAAAAAGTAATCAAAGGATTCAAAGCAATCTAATACTTGTGTATCATGACGCAATTGTAGTCATCTATTTAACAAATATAAAACATTTTCCGTGTTGACATACAGTTATATCAACACGAGTGGACTTGGGAAAACGAGAAATTGTATGGAAACACGACGCCCGAAGGGCGGAGTGTCTTCATACAATTTCGAGTTTTCCCAACTTCCACGAGTGTTGATATAACTATATATCAATACGGAAAAAATGTTTTATATTTTTTTTATAATATAGCAATGTCAAAAGTTCGAAGGATAAGTAAAATTTCCGTGTTTACAAGCGGCGGAAAATTTCCTGTGTTGACATTGAGTTATATCAACACGGGTCTTAGCCAATCAGCGTTCAGAATTTACAAATGCTATATTATAAATGGTAATATCATTTGAAGACTCAAACAGGACGTATATGGGATCCCAGTGGGGTGTGCTTGTGTGTTGGAAGAAGGTGAAAAGCTTGTCTCGGCATCATCAGTTTCGGTTGGTCAAAATTTTCTTTGCTCTACCAACAAATTTAGGCCTGTACGTCTATGCCAAAAAGTGGGAGGGGCCAAATATGCATAATTGCATTCCAAATTAATTAAGTAAAAATGGTCGTGTCCCTGGGAGCTTTGGTTCCGATAAATAGTCACAATGCTGCGTTTTCGATCTTGAAAATACAATAAATTCTGCTAACACTTTAATGTTATTTTCATTTATTTTAGAGCTGCAAAATATTGTGCAAAGTCGGCGATAAGCGCGCATGCCGTCCAAATGCAAACAACTCCTTTTTGTGAAGTGTCGACGCCTAATTCGCCTATCCTCAGTCCATGTTGGACTCCAGGAATTGATGAAACTATGACATGCGCAAGTGCTAAAAGCAAAGATGTCCTAAACGTTTATAATACAGCCATGGATGACATCGCAAGAAATATACTTTGTTCTCGAGAACCTTTAGATTTACAGATTAATTCTTGGAACAGCATTAGTGTAAAACAACAGCAACATTGCATTAAAAAAGCAACTGAAGATTGTATGCTTGTATGTGATGTAATAGCCCCAAACAATGGCCAACAGTTGTTTGAAGCTATGGTGTCTTCTAACCCAGTAAAGATGGAAGGTGAAACTAGAGTGGATGACCTGGTGAAAACTCTTATGAACGCATATAAAAATGCTAGTAACAGAAACACCAAAACCCAAATCCTCAGTCTGTATGCATACAAATATTCTATCGGCACTTTAAAGAAAATTCACTTGCCGTACGAAAAATTGTCTTCACGTCAAATACACAAAGCAAGATGTCACGCAAAAACCCTAGGACCAGGCACTGTGCCTGAAAAAAAGAAGTATCATCGTGTGCGGGTTGACATGAGCAAAGTGGACCATTTCATTGAGTTTATAAATCGTCCATACTTCTACCAGGACGTATCATATGGAAGTAGAATCTTGAAACTCGACAATGGGGAAACCATGGAGATGCCGAACGTTGTGCGCACCGTAACGCGGTCAACGATGATAAGCCAGTATACACAGTTTTGCCGAGAGGAAAACGTCGAGCCGCTAGGTCGTTCCACGTTATTTAAAATTTTAGAAGTTAGGGAAGCATCTCAAAGAAAATCTTTACAAGGCCTAGACAATACTGCTGCAGATGGATCCGCTGCTTTTCACACAATTGAAATGATAGTTGATAATCTTGAAAAAGGAGGGCTGGCCAGGGAATGGTGTGTTGACGTAAAAGGAAAACTGAGAGATGCAAAGCGTTACTTAAAGACTGGTTATCGTGTACACTGCAAGCCAGAGGAATCCACATGCCCTGACCATTGTCGTAAGTTTGCATTAAGCGACGAAAATGACTCCGATTATCAGGAAAAATGTTCACACCAACACTCTGAAATGTGCAAAGACTGCTGCAATCTCGTAGACGTCCTTCATGACATAGAGTGCAAAATTCAAAGCTCAGTATGGAACCCTTACAGCGACGAGCAGCGAGAAGATCTACAGTACGATTTTAAACAGGCTCGCTCGCACATCTTGCAATGGAAGGCTCACATACTTAGATCTATAAACCAAGAAGCAGCAAAACAGGATCACTTGAAGATAATTACCAACAAACCGAATGTGGCACTTGTAGTAATGGACTGGGCGATGAAGTTCCAGCAACTTAGGTATCGTGAAAAGCAGTCAGACTGGTTCGGTAAAAGAGGTTTAAGCTGGCACATATCTACGGTTATCTCAAGCGATACAAAGAATGAAGGCTCATTAGAACTACAGTCGTACGCTCATCTCTTCGATACTTGCCAGCAAGACTGGTTTGCAGTATCTTCAATTATCGAAAACACACTGAAAGTCATCAAGACCCAGAAGCCGCATGTCACCCAGGTTTATCTGCGATCAGATGAAGCCGGCTGTTATCATAATAACGCTCTAATTGCTGCAGCAAAAGATATCGGCCAGCGAGTAGGTATAGCTGTTTGTCGCTACGATTACTCAGAACCACAGTATGGCAAAGATGTGTGCGATCGCATTTTATGGCCGATGAAGACATGTATCCGACGATACTGCAACGAAGGACATGATATTCTATGTGCAGAAAGTATGAGAACAGCACTTTCAGAAAGACCAGTAAAGGGAACGTCCGCGTGTGTCTGCGAAGTAGACGAGGAAAAGGAAACCTTACAAGTTAAGAAAATAGATGGCTTCGGCAAGTTACATAATATTCAATTTGAGGAGAAAGGCATTCGTGTTTGGAAAGCTTATGGAATAGGTCGTGGGAAAGAAATCTCGTTTGAGCAGCTAGTTTCACAAAGCCAGGGAAGCACCGGTCTCAAGATCGTTAATGACTTTTTTGCTCCAGAAGATACACGAGCATACAAATGCAAGAAACCTTTGCCAGAAAGTTCAGATGACGACAGCGATTCGGAGCTGGACATATTTGAGTGTTCGGAGCCAGGGTGCGTGAAGAGTTTCCAAACCTTTTCAGATCTCGAATCACATTTGGACATCGGAGACCATTCTGTAAAGGATGAACAAAAGCAAACACTGTATGATAAACTAAGGAGGGACTGGGTTGAAAGGTTTACTACAGCAGTCAACATATCTGAAGACGAAGCATGCCCTCCCACTAACACTACAAATGAGAATGAATCATCATTACCAAACAATGGTATTCAGATTGGCTGGGCCCTATTGAAACCACGAAGTGGATCCTCGAGATTTTCGAAAAAAGTCAGAAGCTACTTAACCGCAAGATTTGACATTGGCGAGCTGACGGGACACAAAGCAGACCCCCAAAAAGTTTCTGCTGATATGCGGAATGCAAGAGATGAACAAAACAATCGTTTGTTTACGAGAGAAGAATGGTTAACAAAAACGCAAATACAAGGTTTCTTTAGTCGTCTCGCAGCTAACAGGAGAAAAAACAAGGATGTTCTTGACCTTGAATATAAGGAAGTGTTGAGAGAAGATGAAGAATGTGAACGACAAGCACTGATAGCAGAAATTGCTGAACAAATCAAACGACAGCATCCAATATCATATGACGCCTTTAATCTTTGCGAGTGCGCACGAGAAAACAAGTTGTGCAAATTCAACCTGGCAATGCTAAAACAAATCTTCCATTATTTTGCCATGCCCTTTTCATCCAAAATAATACAGAAAGAAAGACTTCATTGCAGAGCTTACATACTTTATAGAGGAGTGTGCGTGTTTTAGACAGTAGAACTTATTTTCTGTAAATTTATATTTTAAAGAAACGCTACCGAAGAAGAACAGTACCCGAATCGTTTATCGGCTGATAATTTCAGCAAATATAAAAGTAATGTTATTCTGAAAAAACTGTATATATGCATTTTAACAACGTCTATTTTAAAAGCTGTATATTTTGAGTCTAATTTGATTCATCTAAATAAAATATATCGCCATATCTTCTAAAGATACTGCTGAAGATGAATCAAAATAGATTTGAGAAAGACAGTTTTCAAAATAGATGTGTTGTTAAAAGCAGTACTATCTGCATGCATGTTCAGCGGTTATTGTGCCTGGAGGCATTCAGCCAACCAAATGATGGCAGTCTGCCATATAAATATTTACAGTTCTTAAAGCTGCATGTGGTTGATCAAACAATTTTAAAATATATGTAGTAAACTGTACAAGAACAGTTTTAATTTATCAGGTCAAAAATAGTTTTGTATTTGGTTTTGTAAATATATAAAGTGCTCGACACTGAAATTATGTATATATGCATATGTATTTGCTAACACAAAAATGTAGTATTTAATTACTTGCATGATTTAAAGGTGATCTACAGTCCGATCTGCGCATGTGCACAAATGAGCCCACTTTTTATGATACAAACAGTTTAACTATGTTTTGAGTTCTTGAAAAGCTTGATTGTTGTTTCTTGATCATTTATTATACTCTAGAAGCTTGGAAATATAAATAGTTGTCGAATAAAGCTCAATATTTTGGACACAAAAAATGTAAACAAAGGCTTTGTTTACATACGGACTGTAGATCACCTTTAATATTCATTAATTTTTAGTTTCAAACTTGATATAAATAGTTCATTGAACCGGCAAATATCGGTTTAAGGTGGCTCGCTACACTTTTTAAATAAATGGAAGATCTTCTGATTTGGACATGAATTTCTGGACAATAATTATTTGTTGAAAAACAAAGAGTATTTGACTTGAATTAAACAAAACTAAGAAGTTCGGAGTTTATAAAAACTTACTTTTAACAACCGTTGCTATGGCAACAATGACGTTTCAATATGGCGGATATTATTCGCTTAGTCGGTGACCCCCATTTTTTATTTTATGGCATGATTTCTTTCAGTATTTTGTATCGTTTTCATGCTTTTGAAAAAATTCTGTCGTGACAAAATTGTTCAAGATTGAAAAATGTAATAATTCGTAACATTTTTTTTGCATGACAGAATTTATTTAAAAATCATAACGGTGATTCAAAATACTAAACGAATTCTTTTTATGAAATAAAAAATGGGGGTAACCAACCTTATTTTCAAATTAAATAACTTTAAACCCAAAATATCGGCCATATTGAACTCATTGTTGCCATAACAATAGCCTGCTCACAGACGTTGTAGTTCTTACGCCAAGCGACGAAATAATTCTTTTTTTTTCGAAAAAATACAACTCTGTAGTTATTGTTTTTCTAGACGGAATTTCTTTGCCTTTTAACAAATAGGAATTGTCAAAGAATTGGGTCTAAATCGGAGATCTTTACTGGTATATACTGTGGAGAGCACCTTAAACTCAAACTGACGAAATTTCATGCGTTGCGGACTTATTATAGTTGTAAGCTACGGCGCGTAATCAAGAATGGCTTAAAATGTTTAAAATCACTGAGGATTATTATTTAAACAAAATTAACTGGTATTCAATGGCTTGTCTGATATATTCAGTACGTTTTCGTCCCAAACTGTCTTGATCTTGTTTCATTGCATTGACAATTATTGGCGGTGAATGCACGCACGAACTGTCGAAAGTTTATGAATTGCGGACTTCTTGTACGGCGCGTAAACAAGAATGCCCACAAGTTTTATTTCATAAGTATTTAAGCTAGTCTTAGCACATTTGAGCAATATTAGGGATAATTCCAGGTTAGGTCCCACTTTTGAGAAAATCGCCTTTGATTGTAGGTACTTTAGCGCCAAACGCGTTTCGGAATTTTAGTATTATATTCTTAAATTATCATATCTCAGTGAAAATTTTATAAAATTTTATGGTTAAAAAGTTAAATTATAACTTAAAGTTATAAAATTGATGTGTGAAATTTTTGGCTGAGTTAAGAAAGAAATAAACTTTCGGTGGCGCCCGATATGTATAGCTTAAACACAGCTTTCCCGACAGTCAATTTGCTAGTTTTTGAGGTGTCATCGAAAACCGTCTCTTGTAAAGTACGTATAAATGTTATTAACCCAAATAAATGTGGTATTTGTTTGTTGTATATACTGGCTGACTTCTCCTGAGAAAATTGTGAAAATCGGCGTTCGGCCAAATTTTGCCTTATCCGTTGTTACGTGGACAGCCTCTTAAAAGCAAACAATGCATCAATATTTAAAACAAACTTACCTTCGTTAACGTCGGCACCTTTACTTCCTTCTTTTAGCAATCCTCTTGCCTTTATTTCATCAAAAATCCTTTGCAATTTACAAAATCTTGCAAAAATGAAATATATTTGCAAGAAATCATCAAATCAATTTCGCTGTCGTCAATCGTCATGCAGTCGTTATAATGCCAATTTTAAATTGGACCAATCAGTGTTGGCTATTTATTACAGTCCACTATATTATGAGATCAGTGAGGATGACCACCCACCGAAACACGCACAGTGACCCACGCCCGCGATATTTGATGAACTTTAGACTTCGCTAATGCTTTCGTTTCCCCGGGTGTAAATAGCCGGGGGGAATTAGTACCCTCGCACGGCGCTTCGCGCCGTCGGCTCGGGGATTACCTTCCATCCATGTATACATATAGTTCAGTGTACTAGAGTAATAATTTTAAAAATCTTGTTGAGTTGTGGGAGGTTTTAATAATTATAAACGTTTATTCTTCAAAAAATATTGTTTGTGCTTGCATAATTCTATTGACGATTAATAGTATATATATAATTATTTTTGTTTCTCAAAGTAACACACTGTGGAGTACTTTTGTTCCTTACTGTGGCACACTGTGGAGTACTTTTGTCTGCTACTTTAATGGAGCATTTTTTAGTAGATGTACTCAAAGTTTGAGTAAACTGTATATTTACTCAAAATAGAGAGTCATTTCGGGCGCATTTTATTTGAGTAACTAGAACTCTTTTTTGAGTAAAAATACTCAGAGTTTGAGTAAACTGTACATTTACTCAAAATAAGGAGTCACTATGGGTACATTTTATTGAGTAACAAGAACTCTTTTTTTGAGTAAACATACTCAAAGTTTGAGTAAATTTACTCAAAGTTTGAGTAAACTGTACATTTACTCAAAATAAGGAGTCACTATGGGTGCATTTTATTTGAGTAACTAGAACTCTTTTTTTGAGTAAAAATACTCAAATTTCGAGTAAAATTACTCACGTTTTGAGTACGTTTACTCAAAGTTTGAGTAATTTATTGTTTACTCCTACCGTGAGTAACTGTAAATGTGTATAACTTGAGTACTTTCAACTCAGTTTTTTGAGTAAATTAACTCAAAAATTTGAGTAAATATTACTCACATTTTATGAGTAGTTTTACTCACTATTTTGCGTCACTGTGGGTGCATTCATTTACTCAATTTTTTGAGTGGATTCTACTCAGAATTTTTTGCAGTGTATGTATACGTTATCTCATTTGTATGGGTGTTCACTGATTATTCATTTCCTTGCATGGATCAGCAAAAAATAAGAGTTAATATTTGTAATTTCGTTAATATTACTGCATGAAATGCTAGCTATGTACCGTCGTTTTTTATTTAATCACATTGATTTCTACAGTATTTCAAAAGCAAGTGCGAAAAATCGTTAATCAATTTTTACGACATGATAAATATGTCTTCGGTTTACCGAGCGCAAATCAAACGAGGATGAGAGTTGCAACTCGTTTAACTGCAAACTCTATCATCTTTGATCAACTTTGAGATGGTTGAAATTTTGATGAAAGTTAATGTTGTAAGCTTTGGCTCGTTTGACTGGTAATCTCTGGTCAACTTTCATGTGACCCTTATTTTTGTTTGGCCGAGGCATGAGAGTTGGAAAAACTCTCATGCAAACACTCGCTTGTCAACCCCAGTTATCATCTCGCGGTATATATATATATATATATATATATATATATATATATATATATATATATTTATATATATATATATATATATATATATATATATATATAGTTTTTCGTTTTACCTCAAAAAACCACAACAGTCTGTTTCATCCGTATAGGAATCATCCTATATACGGATGAAACAGACTGTTGTGGTTTTTTGAGGTAAAACGAAAAACTATATTACGCTCTATCTATATGGTATTGAGCACTGTTTGTGTTTCGTAAACCAAAATCTTAAGCTATATATATATATATATATATATATATATATATATATATATAAATATCGTATATATCGACTTAAAACACCATAATATATATACTGTAACTTAACAAGAACTCTTATTAGCAGACACACAGAAAAACGATCTCACGAATAAGGATAAAAAGAGAGTATGTGTAAACTATAGATTTGTAAACTGCCACTTTGGGATTTAAGCTATATACAGTAGATCTGTTCTGAAGAAAGCTCACTTCTTAATAGTCTCAAGTTAGCATTTTCAGAAAACATAAATAAGAAAGGACACCAAACAATATTCTGATGCAATTTTTTGTGTCAATCTACAATACTTTATGAACTTAAAACATATTGGGCTATTTTCTAGTTACAATCAGACTATATGATATATCTATACGAAGCTCTTCAGATGGATATTGATCATCTAAATACGCATTTTCGACGTTATATAGCAGGAAGGCGTAGTCGGTTTACCACCCACATTGTACATATGTGACTGATAACTGTTACCTAGATTTTCTACTTTCATGCAAAACTATTTATGCTGTGCTTTTTCCAAGGACTCATTCTCTATTACATATCATACTGTATGTTGCTTAAAATTGAAAAATAATAGATATATACAGAATGCCCACTTATTGATTATGAATCGTATCTCCTCTTCTTTCATGCAATCCGCCATATTGAATTCGACAAATGTTTCGCTAATTTTAGGAACGAGAAAGGTTTATTTCTTCAGTAGTGTACATAAAAAAGGTTGGCATTGCCTGAAACCCCGAATAAAAGAACGACGCGAAACAATATTCCAATTTTAACTTTTATTCTTTTAAATTTAGACTCTATTGGGCAACTTACATTATCGTAGCACTCTATTTCGTCTTCAAACAGACTGACGGACAAACTTTTATTAAAGTTTATATAAAGTTTGATCTGATATCTATAAGAACCCCCATATTGTTAATTAAGATATATAGTACTGACTTTGAATACTGTTATTGTACGTCACAGGTAGTGATTGCAAATTAGTTTGCCTTTGTTTTTTGCTGTTAACCTTACTTCATCTATAATATGGAGGAAATTGCGGGATGATAGTATTACTAAGTATATTATGACATCCGATCAAAGGGGGTTGTAGCCTGCGTAGCAG